TGATTGTTGTTCACGTTTTACGCAATGCTATGCAAAAATCCTAATAGATAAAATACTTTCTTGTGAGTATGACTTTATTCTATGTCCTGATTTGGACATGGTAGTCAAGTAAAATGATTGTTCGTCAAGTTTGGGCATGCGGTCCCTCTAGACTGTCTTGGAGAAATTTGACTTATTTGTCCGAGTTAACGTTGAAGTAATAATTCCGGCCGATATTTCACAATCATAGGGACAGAATATGCAGCAGTACAACCGCTTAATACTTGACGATGCGTCCAGTTGCATGGAGGTTATGTTCAGGGGCGCATCATAACGCAGGAATCATCATCAATAAGACCTTTACATGTCCGATTTCATTCAAATTATTCTTTAAATATTACCGATACTATTAAGGACAAAGAGTGTATATTTCAGCGACATCGGTCAGTTTTTGCTTTTATATGCGACAAATATGCACCTTCCCTTTTATTTATAGGTAGATTTGCGACTTATTCCCTCAAATTGATATCATTTTTAGGTATTCTAATTATTAAATAACTATCACTTATTATTCACTCTACAGGGATATCAAAATAAATATTCACAATTGCTGAGACATGTGTGTAATAGACGAAGATCACGGTTTACTACTGTTTGTGAAACATCTCACAAATCTTGATATACATGACAGTTGCCCCTGATTGCTTGGCAACCCATCCTGAAATGATATTTGCCAGGCACATGTTCTGACTTTAGGTTATTTCCAGTCCCTGAAAAATACAAATTCAAGATAGCGTGCCTTCCAATCAGGAGCCAATGTCTTACGTGTAACTTTTTTGTATGAGATTTTCCATCCCACGTTCATCGACAGAAACTGGTCATCTTCGATCCGTACACTCCCTAGCCAGGGATTCCGAAATTTGTTTCTTTCATCGACTTCTTTTGAGAGATTTGTTTGCTCCATCGACCTCTACATTATCCTCTATAATATGCATACACAATTATAACACAGAGAATTGCTCACAACTGTCTCACATAAAACAATTGGGCACCTTAGTATTTCGGTAGAGATCTAAATAATTCAATAGTCGAAGACGCTTTCGCTTCTGAATAGCTAAGTTTCTAATCTTCATTGAAAGGCGTTGTTTACAATATTTTGAGTGTTTTTAACTAGCCATGACATTTTTCTTGTGTGTGCTGCAGGGAATATTTTCTTTCTTCATTGCGAATAGTTGTGAATAGATAGTTGTTTATTGAATTTTCTAAACATCCTAAGTAGTGGTGTTGCTAGGTTCTCGGATTCTCTGGTGCAGAAAGCAGAAAACGGTTTTATTTTTGTAATAAACATAAAATGAAGTTTTAATGCTAATTGGTACAAACATGTGGCTAATGTTATGGTAAAAATAAGCATAGATATTGATTTGTTTAATTTTTTGCCATATCCGTTCACGGGGTTTGTTATTAATGGCCCTTACTTTGAAAACAAGTAGGGAGAGGAAGTTGCACCAGCCTACCGACGCTGATCATACGATGAACGATGGATACGAAAGTAGAACAAATTTGTAATTTATTAGTAAATGTTATGTTACTTTACATCAGAAATCAATTAATTATAAGTTTCATTAATATTTCTTTGTAATCATTAGGATCTTGATAACACCTATCGGTCGCCTTTTAATATTCAGCGACCCCTAGATAATCATTGATCCCCGTCAAAATTTCATCAACCTCTTGACCGACCCCGGTGGGAACCCCTGCAATAGACGTTTTCATTAGACATTATTTCCCTAAAATACTTCAACTTCTTACCACTAGTTATTACCACTAAGAGATATACTATTTCGTAGTGCAGTCACCATAAGAGTTGTACCAAGTCAGGACACTCATACTCACGTTAGTCATTACTATTTAGCTTAGCTTGTCATCCGGTTGTTTGTCGCCCTTTGATATACCGAGGCGACGTCACAGCTATAGCTTCGCCTCAGGCTCCCGTACCGGTCGCGTCCCGGTCAGGGTCCCGTTCCGGCCTCGCTGTACTCTAGAGCGCGCGCTGCCCCGCTGCCCTCGCAAATAAGGATACTACACATTACAAAATACACTACGTACTCCAGGAATCCCTTAATTGTTTATTAATTTGTCGAAACCCTCTCTTGATGGCGGCGCAGGCATCTCCGAGGACGAGTCCGAGTGGCGCACGGCGCCGCCGCTGCCGCCGCCCCCGCACACGCACGACATCGCCGGGATGCTGCACTCGGCGGGGGCGGCGCGGCTGGCGGGCGCCCCGGAGGGCGACTCGCTCTCGCCCTCGCCCCCGCCACCCGCGCCCGCGCCATCGCCCGCGCCGCCCCCCGCCGCCGACGTCGACGCCAACGAGGTGGCGCTGGGCGCAGGCGAGGAGGACTTCTACCTGGAGCCAGCCGCAGATCCCGAGAGCAACAACCTGGTCGAGGTGGACGACGTGCCCGCCAGGAAATACAGGTGTGCACTTTCTTTCTACGATATCCACAGCAGAGCGCATCAATTGCTTGCTCATACAGAGTGTTTCATACTAAATGTTACAAACGTCTAAGGCAATACTTGCCACATTACAGTAGTAGAGTGCGTGAATGCATGAGTGCATTTCAGTAGTAGTGCGTATGAAGTAAGATCAACGGTTACTTTACGCCTGCGCACATTTGCTGGAAAATCTCTTCTAATGAAGTTATTATATATACTAAACATATATTTTTACCCTAATTTGTACACAACTCGTGTTGCACTAATGTTTGGTCGGTACACTAGCAGCATTGCACAAGAAGTTGCCTACTATCAAGATCAAATTTCACGTATACGTTTGTTATATGACGTTTTCAACCACTTGTATGTTGACAAAAAGTGATCGTCTTCGATCCCACGAGTTTCACTCTTTTACAAATTAGTTTTAAATGGAAAAGTATGAGGTCAAACATTAATTCACTAAACAATAGCAACTCCAGCAATGAGGCTGTTATTTGGAATCAGTAATTGATGTGCTTGTTGTCTGAATTTTTTGTTATTGTTGAGTGATTGGAGCGTACAAAACAGTTTGTAAAGAAATGGCAACTTCGCTGTTATTTAAGCTCATTGTGAGATCTGTCTCATAATTATTTTTAATACATGTCAATACAGCACTTTCAATATTTAATTAAATTTCACCACATCATTGGCAAATTTGGAAAATAAATAGTGTAGTAAATTAGAAGGTCAGTGTGTTATCTACCATATCACTTCACAGGGGGAGAGGGTGTCAGAGATGATATTGAGACGTACATGAAAATAATGCATGTGCTTGAAACGGAATGCGTCCACCTGCAAGCGAAGGTGTCTGAGTCGACATGTGTGTGTGTGCGCAGCGAGGCTCGCCGGCGCCTGGCGCTGCCTCACGAGGACGAAGATGAGGACGCCCTGCTGGCGGAGGCAACTCCCTGGATGCGCTGCCGGACGTGGAGCTGGGCGGCCGGCCGCGGCCGCCGGCCGTCCCGCCCCCGCGTGCGCCCCGGCCCACGGCGCCCGCGCGCCCGCCCGCACCCGCACGCGCGCGGCGCGCCGCTCGTGCTCGACAACGAGCTGCCCGGCGTGGACGCGCCCCCGGCCCCGCCCCCGCCCAAGTAAGTGGCCTCCGTCTGCGGCTCAGGGCATTACAACTCAAGTCACTACAGTACTATCTGGTCGCAAGGTCCAGTCCCGACGGTGGCGGGAATTTCGACACTAGCTACACGTTAGATCGGATTCCGCACCGTCTGGAGGGAGATTTTAGCGGCCGGCGGCGTCGAACCGACGTTTTTCCGTGGTTTCTCCGATACCACCAGGCGAATGCGGGAGCGGTATCCTATCAAAAGGCCCGCGGAACGCACGAGGTTTTCCTCCCTCTTCATTGTAGCTATCCTCACACGCTTACATACACCAATTTACACTTAGAGGACTACACTGCCATACATGTCGGGAGACCACTTAGATTACCGGGAGGTTAAAGCTTATCCCAGCTGGGGCAGTGCCCGGCTGGTGGATATATGGTTGAGGGAAATTCCGCAAACCGTGTGTAAGGTCGGCGGCGTAGAAATCTTCCATCTTCGACTCACATTTTTTTAAATACAAAAAATGCTTTTAATATTTATATGAAATTGACTTAACTTTAATTCGACATAGTCAGTTTTTCGAATAAAGCATTAAATAGGTATCGACTTTTTATTCTTTTATACTGTTATATTCATTCAATTAATGAGTCAATCATTTCCTTGTAAAGTGAATTGGCGGTATGTTAACATGGTTCTTTAATATAGAAAACTATTTTTATTTTGAACGAAAATAGATATTAATCTCTGGAGAAAAAAATCGAGAGTCGTGTGTTTCAGAAGTCAAGTTGAGAGAGAGTATTTGCGCGTGTTCTCCAATTTTTTGTGAGTAGATTCGTTTTAAGAAAGATATCTATGAAATTGAGTCGGGGATATATGTTGCACACATTGCGAGGCTGCTGATGGAGTTCGATCACATCGTCAAGAGAAAAAACCACTATAAATGAAGGGTCTTGGAACTGAGTCAAATAATGTGGCAGATTGACAGACAGAAGCACCCCGTGTTTACCGAGAAAGAATCAAAGGTTCAATCATCTACTATTGTGGTCTCTGCATAGATTGTTTAGAACATGTGACAAATCACGGACAATGCTGTTCTGAAACCTCGCCGTGCCCAAAATATGTATGGTCTTGCTCCTTATGACAGTGTTCACATCGAGAGAGACTCTATTGCAAGGAATGAATGGGAATGACCGTAATATATTCCACGAAGTAACTATTCTTATGGATTCATCAAAACTAATTCACCGAGTTTTGAAGGATATGTTTGTTCCCTGCCGCCCGGTCCTAGCGTCATTCCTTCAATGTGGCTAAATTGTGTGATTCCATAACCAGACAAATTGTGTCCATTTCAGAGCAGCTAAGTTCGCGTAATCGTTAGCGTCACCCATTCTGCGGGGAGGCCTTGCACGCGTGCCTCTTGTCAGCAGGACGTCCCGAAAGACGTGCTGGCCGCGCGCGGCCGCCCCCGGGGGCGCCAGCCCGCACCCCGACCGCCGCCTGCGCCGCCGCACCATCCCCGGCCGGTCCAGCGGCGGGCGGGGGGGCGGCGGCGGCTGCGGGGCCCCGGGCGGCGCCGCGGGCGCGGGCGGGGGCGCAGGCGCGGCCAGGGCGGAGGCGGCGCCGCGGGAGACCACAAGAAGCGAGCGCACCACCGCCTCGACAGCGCAGAACACCGGGTGAGGCAGCCGCGGCGCTTTTGGGAGCCACGCTTTCATGCAGCGCTCTTCCAGTTGCCTTCCGCGCCAACTTTCCCACTTCCAAAGCAAAAGGCGGTTCCGCTGTCAGATCGCTGTCCCACCACTGCTCGAATCGGGAACCAAATACTGGTCGATCTTTGTGGAATTTGTGGTGAACAAATTGGATTTGTGACAGGTTTTCTCAGGTTGTTTCGATTCACCCGCCTCTCGTTGCGCCATTATTATTGATAATGTGTCCATAAAATCACTCACACGTTCTCTAAATGTCTACATAAACTTCTCTGAGAGCTGAAATATTCGCAAATAATTTTTGTCTATTATGTTATCACTATTGTGTTATTCATAACCCTAGATGGGTATATTCATTTCATGTAACAAGTTTAATTGTACATTAAGATTTATTCGTTCTATGTAACGTCAACTCGAGGATATTTTTTCACATTTCCTACTGCACTGTTCTTATTTATCTCTTAATACGTTATTCTTTCATTTACAAAGCGAGAAGTAACAAATGTTTACCTTATTTTTTTACCAAATTCGTTAATTGAGAGGGATTGACGTTTGATTTGAAGTAGTAGATTACCAAACAAGTGATACTAATCTCACTTACTGAATGAAATGATTTACTGAGAGAATGTTCGAAATTTAGCAATAGAAACAAGATTATATCATTAGTGAGGTAATATTTTTTTTATTTTAGGCAAGAATTTAACTCAAGGAGTCAAGAAGAAAATGGGTGTTATATGAAAATTCCTAAAAATGTCGATTGTAAACGCAATATTATTTCATTTGAATTTTTGGCAGTGTCCCGCATTTGAATTGCCAGGTTTCCTGCATTGGGGATTTCCTCGCACGTTTCAGATTTCCTGGACGGTCACGCAAGTTGTGCATCCGTCATAATTGATATGCTGTTATATATGAAATATAAATGTCGTATCTTTAATTTTTAACAGCACATCACGTCATGGAAGAACATGGCAAAATGAATTCTGTTTTTACACGGGATATTCATGAGTTATTCTGAAAATAGCTGCCAGACACTTCAAGAATTTAGGAAAAAATATCTCTTCTTGAAAGAGAACGATTCACAGCAGACTAAAGTGTCTTGTACTGTATTCTTCAAACAAATATAAACATTTATTCAAAATAATGATTTTTAAATTTAGAAATAGGGTAACCTGCAAAAATTGAATATTTTAGTAGTATTTTCTCTGTTCGCGGAAAGTAAATCACAGTTTAATATTGAAATGAGCCTGTATAATTTCAAAAAGCATGCAAATGATTTATATCCATAAATGACAAATGAAAAGAGCATGGCTAGGAATATATATTCATTTTTTTTTCAATAAAAGTTCTGTTTTGATGTAAGTGCATAGATTTACCAATTCACATTCAAAAGAATTCTTATGGTGTGACATTTTTCAATTCAAACGTGATGTTGGCTAATATTTTCTCCCTTGTCCATTTTGTTTAACTATTTTATCACGTATGTTATTTTATCTTTACGTTAACTTAACTTGTCTGACTCATTGGCATATTCTCACTGTAATGGAAATTCTTAACATGAATATTTTTTTACGAATGCCCTCTAATTGTGATCGAAAGGAATCGAGCATGTTGGTGTCGCATAGACTATAAAATTGCTATGATTGAATTTTGCAGAGGAAAGTGTAAGAGAAACAAAT